GGGGGAGAGAGGGGAATGGTGCGAGAGGGTGGGGTGGAGTGGGGGTAGCGGTCGCCAGATGCGGCGAAATAATCTGTTTATAGCAGAACAACGAGAAGTTAATAAGAGGAGATCAAGTTGGGAAGGAAGAACAGGCATTCCGCGGTGTCTGGAGAGCCAGTCCGATACAACTACCCTGCGGAAACTCTAGATGCTGCGGGGCTGGCATACCTTCGGCTGCCCCGGTTCGTGAGCTGCTTGGAATGAATTCAGGGCATTTCTCAAAGTAATTCTAGATCGTGTCTGAATAGATACTATTTGATGAAATGTTTACAATATCGCGTTAATTAGCGAGACCGACAAGTTAATATTGACTGTGTACTGAAACCAATATATACGAGTAGCGTGCAAGTTATTGAATTAAATGTTGGCCAATTTTAGAATTTAAAGATTTTTACAGGTCTCTATCCCTTACGTTTTCTACTTTTAATGTCTATCAACATCCATCATATTTGCGTTCTTAGTTTCATAGCCTTCTTAATTTTTCATACTATATTCCATTCCTAATTCCGTACTGCCCTTTACGTTGTATGCAATTAATATTCCATTCGTTTATTTCCTTTTGCCGACATTCAGTTTTCCTTTTCACTCCTTCCTCCTTGCTGTTTGCACTTCACACTCCCCTTCTCGTAGGCAGCGCAGCCCTTCCCCTGCCTTGATGTCCCTGGGGATGAGAAGGCCTGGCTTCGAGCCCCCTCTCCGATATTGCGCCTGCGATATAAGCTTCCTGCGTCCCGACCAGCTGGACGCGATATTGCATGTTGAAATTCCAGTCATGAATCATTCAACATTAAACGTTTTACAGGCCATTGGATTTGCGAATGACGTTGTTTCTCCACAAGGAGGCACGTAATGTCTCAAGCATTTGCAATATTTTGCCTACTTTTATAAATTGAAAGAAGATATTTCATTTTGTGTAAGTTATTGTTTATTGAATAGCTTTTATGATTCGTGTTACATTTTTAAAAATCGTAAGCAAACGTATGGTTTGATGAGTCTTCTGCGCCTTTTTACTGTAATACATCGACATTTTACTGATTCACGTGGCTTTGAAAGAATCCCCGGCTTTTAAGATTTCTATTCCATTTATGATTGTGGTCTACTAGTACGTTCTCTATGCAAAGGAAATGTTTTCTTTCCAGATAAAATAATGTTTCTTAAGATGTTAGCCATGATTTCAACTGTAATGTAATAAGCGTTCGATACCATTAATTACATACGACTTCACAATTTCAATATGAAGAAATGTCTCATTAAAAACTTCTTGTAAATATACACAAATTAATATCTGGTCATTCAGTTAATTAAAACTTGTCTATCATTTTACTTGTTTTGAAAGTGAAATAAATTGTTTGCAAGTTTAAACTGAAAACAATATTGAAAAATCATCGCCCTGCAACCATTTCTCCGAAAATGATATCTGAAAAACGGTTTTCTTATATTATCACAAACAAATTAAGATCTTCGCTTCCGGAGTAGTATTTGTTGGCCTCCCTACCAAAAAAATTCTCGTTATTGGTGTCAAACGCGAAGAAAACATCTTCCGATAATATCTGGGCGGATCGGCGTAGAACAAAACCGGAATTCGGTTTGGAGTGTAAGCAAGCGCAGGCCCACTTCAGGGTTCCGAGACGGAGCTCTTTGAAAGGAACGCGCCCGGAGGCATTGAAAAGAAAATGCCGAAAACGCATCACGAGTTAAAAGACGCTTTTACGAGCCCCACGTCTCAGAGAAACCTATCAGATCTTGTGTCTGCTTCTGAAGCGTGCAGCCTCCTTGAAAGGAGTTCGCGGTGTTATCCGGCCTGTGCAGCGCGGACCCCCGAATGATTGTGTGTGTATGTGTATGTGTGTGTGTGTGTGTGTGTGTGTGTGTGTGTGGTGTCGGTGCAACCCGCGCCCGTTCTGCTGCAAAAGATCGACTTATCGACCGGGGGATATTTTTTTCTTCGGCGGGTTGTATCGCGTCACCCCCTGCAGTGATGATGTGAAGGGGGCGGGAAGGGTACGTGGTGTGGGGTGGGATGGGAGGGCTAAGGGGGGAGGGCTTGGAGGCAGCTGACGGATAGTCACCCAAGGGCCCGTATGGTGCGCATGAAGCGACATCTTGCCGGCGGCGGTAGTGGAAGCCGAAGTACAGGCTGGAAGATCATGTCAGGGACTTTCACTTATTTAGCAAGTTTTACTACAGAAGTTACAAAACTTATTTTAAAACAATTTGCAAGATACCGAGAAATAAAATCTAATTTACAGTGCTGTGACATATATTTCGAAGATGACTAAGATATTAAGAAAAAGATCCAAAAATACTAACAAATATATTGCTTAATAAGAACAACTCTTAAAGCAAGAACGCAAAAAGAAGCACAGTTAAAATTTTATAAGATATAGGCTGTCCCCACTTTACTATATGGAGCAGAATACTGGACACTTCAAAATAAAAATCTTAAATAGAAGCCTCAGAAATAAAATTTCTAAGATCGTTCAAAGGCTGCATCAGAAAAAACGAAATCAGAAATGTAGTAATCAAGCACTGACTATGGATGTAACTAATAATCCACCTTAAAGAAAAACGGTGTGAGCGTATCCTTTGTATGCCACCAGAAAGGATTTCAAAACAAGTAATGTAATTTAATCTACTTGGTAAAACACATGCGGGAAGACAGAGGAAGAGATGGTGATACCGTAGTAGGCATCAGGTCTAATCCTGGCAACACTGAAGAAGACAAAAATAAATGGTTAGAAAGACGCCTGATTGTTTATAGTTTTATGGATGTTTTGTTGTTGCCTGAGGAATACCTCCAGGTGGGCCTCCTGATGAGCGTTAATTCAAATTGTAAGTCATTTATCTGGATGATAAAATTCTAGCGTACGAAAATTGTGGTCATCTGATGTTCTTCAGAAAGCGAAATTGTGATTGAACGAGAACTAGAAGTGCGCGTTTTTCCTGTTTCACAAAGGTTTGTGATGGATGAAGGAGGAAATACGGGCCACAGTAGCTACCTTTTGGAAGACAAGCCGAGTTCAAATTGCGGGGACTAATTCATTTTTATGAGTTTTCTGAACCGAATGTGTGAAGTAGAAACATTTTGTGAATTCATACGAATTTTTTTTGTAATTATTAAATGGTAAAATTCCCTCAATTGTAGAATTTGTTAATTTCTTAAGCATCATAACAAAGGGAACGAATGATTTTAAGATATTCTTTTGAAATGTTGCGATTGTATTCGCCCTGCTTCATCCTTTTAAAAGGCGTTTTGAATTTATTTTTTATGTCAAAGATAGTTTGGTTTATGTCTCTGAAACTTATTCAGACATTTTGAGAAACATTCATCGTTCATTCATTCATTTTGGAACTAAACAATACGTAAAAACCAGACACCATAAGGATACAATAAAAAATACCAAATATCGCTGCCGGAATTGAAGATATTTGAATTGATATGAGAATTTCATATAGAATGTAATAATATTTCAATAGTCATCTTCTGTTCCCACGGAATTGTAGGCACCTCTTTGAAGAAGTAAAATCATATCTTTACGAATACGCATGAAATGTTAGTTGGAAGATTGAGGAAGAGGAATATTTTAAAACGCTTACTAAGAGATTATTTACATATGATAATACTGGAGAAATCCGTATGTGAAAAGAGCTCAAAATAATACTTGAACGGTTTTATATGTACGGAGAAAACGGATTAAAAAAGCGCTGTAACGCTCGTGCTGAAAAAGGATGATTTACAAGACAGAATGGATTTGTCCATCATCGTGAATCATGGATAACTACCCAAAATACATCTCCTTCAAATGCCAATAATTGCAGCGTGTTACCAGGATCGATATCAAGCGCCATGATAGTTGGAAGCAAAGTGGCGCTCGTTTCGGTTCGATTGCCGTGGAAGCCGCCGAAAGACCTTCTAACGAGCGCGCGACAGATTTCGTGGAAGGGCGGCGGAGAGGGTGGCGGCGGAGAGGGTGGCGGCGGAGAGGGTGGCGGCGGAGAGGGTGGCGGCGG